GTGTAGAAGACAATAAATTCCTTGCCATCACCGAAAAGAAAATACTTGAAGTTAGGGTTTGCATATGAGGGGACATTTGCTGTTTGTCTTTCTGTACCTGACTTACACCACTGTTTAACTTTTTTTCCTTTGAATTTCAATTTTTCTGAATAGGTAATAAATATTCCATTATGCATAGTTTCCATATGTTCTTGTCCATTCTTCTGATTAGTGGGTGTCTAGGTTGATTAGAGTTCACAGAGTAATGGGCTCATACTGTGATTGTTTTGCTCAGTGGATGTGCTATGAAACTGCCTTCTTTACACTTATGTTTATATGCTTCCATTTGTGCCACTATCAGCCTTGTTCAAAGAAGCTTCCTTTTACCCTGGGAAGTGGTCAATGCAAAAAGAGATTCATAGCTGGTCAAAGTCCTGAGAATAAATTGCTGCAAGTGCTCATCCCTAAATGGGATATTACTGTCAATCACCATGCTGTTGATTCATGAACCAGCAGCTGTGATTACTTGAACAAGATCAAAACCAAAGGAATTCCACATGGATGTGGGAGGAGCTCATGAAACCTCACCTCTAGTTGAGGAACAACTGATAACTGATAGTGGCTGGAAGAGGGATTGTCATTTCTTTTAGTGAATATGGCCACTATAGGCTTCCCCTGATCTGATTCATGACTCCACATTTGTGTGCACACAGATAACATATATTGGGTGCAGTGGGATACAGAAAGGGGGTGGGCATGAGAAGGGTCCAGGGAGAGAGGGGGAAAGGGATGGAAGTGGATATAATCATAATACATTGTAAATATATATGAAATCCTTAAAAACCATAACAATTTCTTGAGGTTGGGTTTGATGCCTATTCGTACAATTATTTCTCATGACTTTAGGTAGGAGAACAAGACATGTCTTTGAATTAATTGTTGAAAAGGACGTGGAATTTGAGATAGATGATGAAATATTAGTATATCAGTAAAGCAGAAATTTGGAGATAAAAGAGAGCTGTTGCTAGACTCTGCTTCTTTTCTTCATCAGGAACCTAATGTCAATAAAAAATTAATTGAGCAAATGTATACAAAATAATAAAAATAAGTAGAATAAGACAAAGTAGTTGGATAGTCACTTAGCAAATGAAAGTTTTCAAAATTCAGGGCAACCCTAACTAATACAGCACTTTGATGTCTTTCTGAGCATGTGGTTTGCTTTTAGACTACATACAAATGTTTGGATTTCACAGATCTTGATTTCCATTAGGGTAGCAAGAAAGTGTTATTTGGGTGGATTAAGGTGCTACTCAGACCTCTAACAACACCTTGTCTGGTGAAATCTGAATATAAACTGAAAGGCAAAAGGTGGGTTCTTACTGTTTCTCAGCATTAATATGCAGCAAACTCAGAATCAACTATGACTAGATACAGCTTTTTGCAAATAAAATGTTTTAATTAAACACAAAGTAATTATTTGCGTGGGAACAGCTTTTTGCAAATAAAATGTTTTAATTAAACACAAAGTAATTATTTGTGTTTTCCCCAGTGATACAAGCCAATATTCTGGCTGCTTAGGAGGTTGAAACAGAAGGATTGTAAATTCAAGACTTATCCACACAGCTTAGCAAGACCCTGTTTCAAAACCAAAACAATAAGGTAAAAAAGTATGGTGAGGGATACAGCTCATTGTTACAGAGGGGTAAAGGATTTACCTAGTCAAAATGGGGCCTTACATTCAACACTCCCATAGTGCAGAGAGAAGTGGGGGGGGGGCACTAACTTTGTACTACACCCCTACAATTCCAGGGTTTGTGACATACAAGAATTAAGGCTAGTCTTGGCCTGATCCATAAGGAGTGAAGACGAACCTGGGATATATGAGACTCTGCTTAAAACAGCTAAATAAAGTAAAAAATAAAAAATGGAACTTTGCACTATGAATGTAACTTCTTGGCTGGCCTTGAGCTCAGTATATACACAAAAGTAGCCTTGAGCTCATAGAGATCTTCCTGCCTCTACCTCCTGAATGCTAGGATTGAAGATGCACACCACCCTGTCCAGCTAATGTAACTCTCAAATGACAAGTTTTTATTTGTTTTTTCATTTAGAGAAGAAATGGATTATTTGCCTCAGACTGAATTATGAGTAGACTGTATTTCATGGTAAGGTAAATTCAGCTAAATGGAGCAAGTTTGGTGTCTAGAAACCGTCCATACCATCCTCTATTGTATTCCCTTTTTTCCAGTATCTGCAACACCACTGTTAGAAGGCATTCTTTGTATTCTTAGCTTTATCTGACCCTTTGGGGTTGTCATGAATATTTCCCCTTAAGGATTTCAGATTAATGATTTCTTGGCATGAATAATTGTCCTCATCTTTCCTGGTCTCTTATCCAGTGAAAATGCATGTGACTCTTGGGCCAGCTGCTTTTCCATCCAGACTGTTTTTGTTAGGAGAGAATTTATCTTGTAAGCATACCCAGAGGCATTGCTAATAGGACCTTCATATAACCACTTCAGTATTTTATCTTTGCCTCTTGTTTATGTAAAATGTTCTGGTTTTTAGATGGAAAATCTAATTATTAAATTTGATAAACAATAAATCTTGTAAACAACTGCTAACTTTAATACCATTGAAAATTTACTTTATTAGAGAAAAATCACACAAAATTACCATATTTATGGTAAAAATACTTAATAGCACTAATTTTGCGTTTTGACTCAGCAGTTTCTTCTATGAGATCCAGAATAAAGCCAAATGCTCTGCTTGAAGAGAAAAGACAAGCCCTGAAGTTCTGGCCCAGTTCTTCATCAGCTTCGTGATGTGGACAATATACCTAAGTTTTGTTGGCTCTCATTTTTTTAAGCTGAAAATTTGGACATTCATAGTTTGCTCTGTAACACATTCCTGTGAATATAAAGGAATTGGTTCGTGAAGAAAATCTCCTAAAGATCACAGTAGAAACACTGGTAAATCAGTGTATTGGATTGAACTGGCATTTTATGTCTCTATTCTCTCTGGATTTTTTTTTTTTTTTATCTCTTGATTTTCCTGCTGAGTGAATTTGACTTTTTCTTTGGACTTCTCTTGCATAGCCTGCGTATTGGACTTCTAAGCTGTATTTTGCTTTGTACTGTTAACATTAGCAGCTTTTTGGAATAAAGTTACTGGTCTTCTAAACAAGGAAATCAACTTAAGCAAGCTTCTTTCACAGATCACACAGCCAGTAAAATGCAAACTCAGGGCATGGATTCAGAGATCTTTTTTCCCTTGCTGGTTCTTAGAAGGACATTTAAAATTAGTATGCCTGTGCCCAAACCTACAGCATTAAATCAATGTCATCATGAGAAGAGAGTTTGATTTACCAAAACTTTCTGGAATAATTAATCTTTAGCAAGCATCACACACTATATTGGTCAACAGGGCTGAGGTAACCTCCAGTAGTCTACAGTATAATATACATACTTTTATGTGGACATATATGCTCTCTGAGATTGTCCCAGGTGTCCCTACTGTACAGATAAGAAAACAGAAAAGCAATCTGTGATGAACTTCAATGTGCAACATTGTTTCTATAAACAAAGAAAGTAAAAGCCCTGAAGTTTTGCCTCTGAAATAGTATATGCTGAACAGAAGTCATTTCCTGTGCTGTCCCAGGCAGAACTGACAACATAATTTGCAGATGTAGTACAAAGGGAAATATTTGGGTCCTTGTTACAAAATTAATAAAACTTTAGAACATGTGACCACACCATTTTGAATCAAGAGTGCAAAGCATGTGCTGGACCTATGAGATGGCCCAGCAGCATGACAATAATCCTGGCAAGGCTGGACAGACTGTCTATCCTATGGAGCTGTGCCCTATAATCCTGAGTAAGGCAGCATGGTAGGAACAGCAGTGCCCAGTCTGTTTATTATGTCTGCCCAGTTGTCAGCGGAAGGGACCCTGAGGCAATGGGGCAGTGGCAGCACAGCAAAGCAAAGCTATCAGGTTGCAGAGCCCTGGGGAAAAAAAAAAACCCCAACCCCATTTTTTTTTTTTTTTTTTTTTTTTTTTTTTTTGGCTATCAGGAAATAGGGCAAAGAAACAGGAAGCTCTGGGAAACTGCAGGCACCCACAAAGAGAGAATCACCTTGCTCCCTCATAATGGTGGTTAAAACGTAGGAAATACTCTCTTGTGCATTGTTAGTTTGGAGGAGTCCACAGAAGAGTTGTGTAAAATGACCCAGCCTGACTGGGCTACTCCAATGCTTTCTCCTCCTGAAAATCATACCTGAAAGAAACGAGAAAATCTCTAGCCTTTTCCCTGTGTAAGTAGAAAATGCCTGTGATTATTTCTCAGACCTCAATGACATCCTCAGTGTAATCCCTATGATTCAAGTCAAGCAATCCAGGTGTTTACTTGTATATAAAATTGGTGGAGCCCTGAAGAAAGTCCAGGTGTGTTTTCTCTCTGAAATGGTTGGTCGGTTCTTCTGGGTGCTATTCAGGGCACCAACTGGGATGTGTCCACTGTCATCTCTTGAGATTATTGTCTTAAATAGTGGCCTCTCCTTAATCCCCAGCCATCTGATGTACTTTTTTTTATGTCTCCTGAACTTAATCACAGAAAATAAAATGGATACCATCTAAAGTTCTAAAAGCCTTTCATGAGCACACTGATAGGCTGCATGCTGAGACCAGTTCCCTCAGGATTTCTACGAAGCAGTTTATGCTTAATACAGAAGTAACCAAAAACGTGAAAAACAATGAAAAAGGTGAATTCAGCTATATATTAAACATAAAGTGTTTGTCAGTTCTTATTATCTAAAGGTATGCATACACATGGGAAGAAAGAATGATTCTTTGTTGTTTGGGGAGTGTATACAATAATTTCAGTTAGAGTGTTCTCAAAATATCGTTGTTAAAAGTATTTCCTGCAAAATGAGTCATCTGTTATGTATTTTTACTCTTCAAGAGTTCCTCTGCACGACTTGGAGATTAATCTGAATAAATTATCCCTGCCTTTTGAATTATTAATCTTGGCTGCATGATATGCAAATCAGACTGCACTGGCCATGTCTAGCGACACAGCACTGGGTCAGAAGCTGTCTGCAGCTCCTGGAAGAGTTTCTGTTAAGAGAGAAGCCGTCAGCAGAATGGTAAGGGAAACTACAGCCCATGCCTCCTGGACATATTAAGAAAGGCCAGGTTTTCTGGTGAGGGTTTCTTTTGAAAGTGGCCTGTGAGTTAACCAGTGCTCAGGGAACTGTTCTTAGTAGATTTGAAGCAGCAAAGGGAAAAGACTTCTGACTTTCACATCTGCTTCCTATGACTCTAAATGTAGTGATTTGATGGCTATGTACTACATTTATTTTACTTTAAAAGGCCTACTGTAATTAGAGTGATTTGAATAAATAAAGGTATTTCCAGAAAAGGGGAACTATCTCACATCATGGAAAATAACTTAGCATGTAAGTTTTACAGAAAAATCTAATAGGATGAAATTTTAGTCATTACAAACTTTAGATTTTTCATATATATATATATATATATATATATATATATAAATATATATATTTAAGAATAAGGCTTCCTAAGGAAAGTGGCAGATTGCACAAGCAATTGCTGTAACACTCACCAGAACTTTCCAAACTGTATGAGCTATTCTCTAACAACCTAGTGAAAAATATAACTTGACACATACTATAATTTTTCATGGTTTGGTGTCATTTAGTGAAATACAGAAAAATGAAGTAATCAATGAGTCCTAAATGCTTGTATTTGTATATGTGCAAATACTGTTTCGTTTAAATTGTTTCATATGAAAGTAACTTGTTGAAATACCTTCCTTGCTGTGCAACTTTTCAGTGGCAGTTATAATGTTAACTTCTGTTAGGCTCTCTATCATGGCCAAGGGTATAGAAAGACATTTTTTATTAAAATAAAGGGGATGTTTATTAGTGTCTATTTTCTAAACTTCTGGTAAAGGACACACATTATTTTTACATTTAAGAGAACTGATTTTATAATGAATTTTTTCCATCATTTCAAATTAAAAATGAGTACTAGCCATTTTCTCATATATGTGCATTTAGCTTCTTAATCTAACAGACTTGGTGTTGTGTGCTGGGAACTAATGATTTCACTTTAGTTATCCATGTTTTTTTTTTTTAAAGAAAATGCACTGTTAATGGTTCACTCAGATAAGTAAAAGCATGTTTGTCAGCATATCCATTGCCTATAAATAGGAAGGCTCCTGGGTAGTGGGAGAGGCTAGTAATGTGCCAGGGGAAGTGCTCCCTTGTGTTGGGAGTTTTGCTTAAAGGAACACACATTACTCCCTGATTTGTGTACTTATGTCATAACAAGAACACACTCTGACATACACATCACTGAATTTGAAATACAACATTCTCAAAATAGTGTGTCTTTATGAAGCTGAATCAATCTACATGTATCGGAGAGCCTATCTCTAGAAAACCATAGCCTGTTAATAGTATGAATGTGAAAATGGCTATAAGAATGGAACAAATTGAAGTAATTATATTAAAGTAATAGATTATGAGATATCATGAAAAGCAGAATCACATTTTAACAAAGTTTCAGTAATGTGGTTTGTGTTTTTGTTGTTGTTGTTGTTTGCTTTTTGTTTTGTTTTGGTTTGGTTTGGTTTATCCAGATAGGGTTTCTCTGTGGCTTTGGGCTGTCCTGGAACTAGCTCTTGTAGACCAGGCTGGTCTTGAACTCACAGACAGATCTGCCTGCCTCTGTCTCCTGAGTGCTGGGATTAAAGGTGTGCATCACCACCTCCCGGCTAAGTTTCAGTAATATTAAAGTATAAAAATATTAGGACTGATTGGTTTAAATTTCTTCCTTGATTTTTTGCTATTTGATTCCACGCTGGACTACACAATTAATATGTACTTTATCTACACATTTTTGTTTTTGTTTAATTATTTCTTATACTTTAGATTATATTAATTACATTATTTTCCCTTCCATTTTCTCCCTGTGAACTCTCCTATATACTCTTCCTTAATCTCTTTCAATTTCATGGCCTCTTTTTCCATTAATTCTTGTTAAATGCATATATGAACATGAATGTACCTAAATACAACCTGTTCACTCTGTGTAACATTATTTACAAAACAACTTCTAAAACAGAGGCTCAGAAGACATTGTGGAAAAAGGGGCAGGAAGACTGTGAGATTGTAAAATCAGGAAGCTTCTGGTAAGACTGTGTCTCCTAGTAATGGCAGAAGCTGCACCCACAAAGTCTCACCACGTGATGGCCAATGCTGAGCTCGGCAACAAAGACAGCAACAGACATGCTGAAGTGAATGGGGAAAGCCCATAAGGTTTCAGTCCTAGCAAAGAACTACAGTCAACTAAGGAATGCCTGGAGTGGGAGCAATAGTTTTACCCAGGGAAGGGCGTGCCAGTTGTTTACCCAAAACCACAGAGTCAACCTGAAAATAGACACTTGTAAAGGTTTTTATGGTGGTTGTGATTTGTTCTTAAAGTAAGATTTACTCTATGAGAAGCAATACAAAAGTACAAATTAATAAGTAAAAGTAGTTAATCAATTTAGCCAGTTATTTTCTGTAACTGGCCCCGGTATTCTCTGTTTTTACTGAACCTTCAGTCTTCAGGCTCTCTGGATCACTAGAAAACAGAATTATCCATCACTTCCACTTGGCCCCTGACTGGCTGATTGGTAGTTACTGGCAGCCGGGTCATCAAGTTGCATATGTCTTTGTAGATACATTTTTGATTCCATTTTGTGATCCATACAAATTGCATAAACCCATGACATTTCCTCAGCTTAAATGGGATCCGGTATAATCAGAAAGAGGAAGAGGAAATTCAAAATGAAGCAAATGAGTTTCTTATCTCCAGAAAACTTTTTATTGTCTTAATTTTCATTTAACTTGTGTACCAATGCTTTCTACACGATATAAAGATCACAAAATGAGTCTTGAAGAGCTCTAACATTAAAGCCTAGACAAACGAGGATTAGCTACAAAAGACCTGGCAAATAGAGAAAAGGGGAAAGATTGCAATGTTCTAGAAGGCAAGGAGGAAAAAGCTTCCAGAGTCATGGCATTGAAAGCTGCAGCAGATTTGAGTGTAACAGTGAGAAATGTTCATTGTCTAATGACCCATGCATGCTAGCTTTTAAAAACCCATGTCCCTCCTTTTTCTACTTTATTTTTTTAATTTTTGAAAATTTCACACGTAAGTACTCTATTTAAATCATTTCCTCCTCTGTCTCACCCCCATCCAACTTCTGCTGTGTTCTTCCATCCCCCAATTCCTTCTGTAATTTGTAGTTACAGACAGTCATACATACACAGAGAGACACATATTTAGTAGATACACACATACATAGATAATGTATATGTGTATACAACCCACCATTAAGTCCATCTAATGTTGCTTGTACATACACATGCATAGAGGTGACCGCTGGGGATTCAGTAACATCGGGGGGTTCATCCCTAGAGAAAACTAGTGTTCCGCTCTCTCAACAGCTATAGATTGTCACTAACTCCTCCTCTAAGGGTGACATCCTCTTCAGTCTCTCCCATTCATATTGCCATGTCAACAGGTGTTGTCATTATGTAAGTCTTGTTGAGCAGCCATCTTGTTGAGATTTTCTAGGTACAACTTCCCTGCCATGTCTAGAAAACACTATTTCACAATAGGCACCTGTTCCTTTGCCTTTTAAGTCATTCTGCCCCCAATTCCACAATGTTCTTTGAGCCTTCGCTTTAGAGGCTGTAGATATACTAACAGGGGCTGGAAAACTCCATGGTTACTTACTCTCGACACTTGCCCATTGTGGATGTCTGCAATAGTCTCCATCTGGGGAAGAGGAGAGCTCTACTTATCTGAATGGACTGATGTACAGGTCCTTTTTAATATTTTTCAATTTAAAAGTTTTATGTTATTAATTACATGCATACTTTGGTTTATTTTAAAAAGCTAAATAAGCATAGACAGACATAAACGAAAGGAGAAAAAACACAATAAAAGCCTTCCTGCTAAGCCTGGAACCATTTTGGTATATATCTTTTTAGACTTTTATGTGTTTGGCAATTTCAGATTAAACTCTAATTAAATATCTTAAATCCCTAAATCAATTCTAGAAGTTACATATTAAAGTTTGCTTTATACAAATCTGTTTATAAGTCAGAGGTCTCAATACCATAGTGACTGGTTTGTGTGTGTGTGTGTGTGTGTGTGTGTGTGTGTCTGTGTATCCCATTATGCACAGGGTAAGTAGATCTTATTTTGTAGATTTACTACTTCTCTAGCCATAGAGGAAGTATTTATGAAACTGCTTATTAACAGTCAGGTTTCCGGCCCTCTCTATTCAGCATGCGATTCCAGACCACATAACAACTGTTAGCCACTGTGCAGATGTAGAAGATAAACAATGAACAAAACAACTTTGTAAAAATTGTTAAGACAAAATTTAATGCATAAGGAAAGCATGCACTCACTTAGGCACTAAGTTTATTTAGATTTGGTGAACAGGCAGCCAATGAGGGAAACAATCTTTATACCTGAGTCTGAAAGAAATACAGATAGTAGACACACTATGTGGGCATGAGAGGAAGAACAGCAGAAGAGATGCAGATGTTCTAGCACAGTGGGACTTCTCTGTGCAGTCAGAGGACAGGAGAGAAGGAGCTAGAGCAGAGCAAGCAGGCTGAAGTGGCGTGTAGGGGGTGGGGTGGGGGCATTGAGAATATGCACATTGGTCCTTGGAAGAATTTTAACATAGGATTGCAACATGATTTGATTTTGTGCTACAGATTTTTCAAGAAAAGGTGAGATGAACAAGAGCCAGAAAAAGTATGAGGCTACAGAAGGAGAATATGTTACATGTAACTATTCCCTTTGCAGACTGATGTAAGTATATATAGTGAGGAACTGACAGACTTGAGAAATACATAGAAATTAAAGTCAACAAAGCTTGGTAGTTTGTTCTTGATGGAGGTTAAATTGCAGCTGACTGTAAAGACTTCTGTGGTAGGCATTTGAATACATGGAAAAATTATTTTACTGGCGAAGGTGATTCAAGATTAGCTAACAAATTAGGATGTCTAAAGTCAAAGGTGCCTGTAAGAAATCAACTCACAGCAATACAATAAACTATTGGTATCCATCAGACAGATCTGAGATAGGTTACAATTGTAGGAGTTGTTTGTACATAAATCGTCATTAAAAGTTGAACATGGACAACATCACCCAAGAAGAATACACAGAAGGGAGAAGCGAACTGAGATAGGAAATCAACATCTCTTAAGCCACAAAAGAGGCAGAAAGTAGCCAGGGAGAGGAAAAGAAAGCCAGGATTCTGACTTGTCACAAAAGAAAATGAAAGGCGTATTCCTAACAACTTATTGCAGGCTAATAAATCAACTGGTGAAAATTGACCACTGGGTTGGGAAATGTGGTGGCTGTTTGAAGAATTTGGGGTCACAAACCAGATTAGGGAGTGCTAGACACAAAATGGGTTCCAGATGAGAAGGCATTTGGTGAGACATTTCTCCAGAAACCGAGCCTGAAGAGGAGGGAAACAGGGGATGCAGGAGAAAGTCTTTAAACCTGGGACAAAATTTTCAGATTGATAGACAATGGTGTTTAAGCGCTGGTAGACAAAGCACAGATGGACAGATCTAGAAATAAAACTGGAACACTGGGGGTGTGCCATCAGCAAGTCCTTGGTGTAAGGAAGAAGTCTGAAAGGGTGTGGGGAGAAGGAGTGATCTAAAGAGCAGATGGATCTGGCAATGGGTGGTTCCAAAATGAGCCAATGAGGAATCTCCTACTTGGTGAGCTAAGGGGAAAAGACAGCTGTCTGATGGTTGTGGTGAGCAGGGTAGAGTAGCTGGAAAGAAGTCTGAAAGTAGAAAGAAATAAGAAATCAAGAAATGCAATACATTCTGCCATTCTCTACAGAGGAATTGAAAGTGAAAACACAAGGCTTGGTACTCCAGCAGTGTTTGTGGGAACTGGCTCAGACAGTATCATGTAAGCATGAGGCCTGTGGTGGATGCCCAGTGCCTGTGCTAAAAAGAGGGGTGGGGCATGGAAAATCCCAAGGCTGGAGAGGCAGAGACTAGAGGGTCCCTGATGCTTTCTGAGCAATTGTTCTAGCCAACTGGAGAATTCACGGTTCAGAGAGAAAGATTGTCTGAAAGAATCAGGTAGTGAGTGAGGACACATATGCCAGCTTCTGGTCACCATATATACAAACACATATGTGGACACAAATGAACTTATATACATACACATGAACACATGACTCACAAAGTAACTATAAATACTGAAATTATATGCAAATTTATGATGTATTCTCATAAATAAAATGCTGCCAAGATTCCAGCAATCAACTTCAATAAAATCTGAATTTGGCCAAAGTAGATACATTTTCCATATATCTCCCTCATAGAAAACTTTACTGGGTGTCTAAAAGCTTCATATGAAAATAGATTGTACTTATAATAAAATAATTATTTGACTGTGACTAATACTCTCAGTCATGTTTAAGAGGAAAAAATTAGAAAAGTTTGTTTTCAACCTTATTTCTTCTATTAGAAATAATTAGTATCTAATATTTTTAAAAATCAACATGTTTTCAGGTTACTCAAGTCCTTGAAACAGTCTAACTACAATGTACCCTTATTGCCAAAGAATGATAAGTTATGAGAAATTTGAATTGGTATTCAGAGGGTCTTACTACAATGCTTTATTAGTTGGTGTGGTGGTTAGTTTTAAAGGTCAATATGGCATGACCTAGAATTACTGGGACATAGATTCTTAATGAGAGACTGTCTACATTGAGTTGGTCTGTGGGCGTGTTTGTGGGAGACCATCTTAATTAAGTGATGTTGAAAATTCAACCCACAATGGTCAGTAACATTTCCTAGGCAAATCCCTGAACTGTAAAAAATGTGGAGAAATCCAGCTGAGTACAAGCAAGCAAGAAAATAAGTACACATGGATTCATTTTGGTCTTCTATTATTATTATTATTATTATTATTATTATTATTATTATTATTATTTTGGTTTTTCGAGACAGGGTTTCTCTGTGTAGCTTTGGAGCCTATCCTGGAACTCGCTCTGGAGACCAGGCTGGCCTCGAACTCACAGAGATCTGCCTGCCTCTGCCTCCCAAGCGCTGGGATTAAAGGTGTGTGCCACCATGCCCAGGCATTTTGGTTTTCTCTTGACTGTGAATGTGACGAAGCTGGCTGTCTTCCATGCTATGATGGACTGGAAACTGGATCTGTGAGCTACAATAAACTTGCCCTAAGTAACTTTTTGTGAGGGCATTTTATTCCAGCAATAGAAATGAAACTAGAAAAGCTAGGAATATGACCTCAGCCAGGAGTAAGTCTGAATGGTGTGCTCTCAGAATTCATGTGGTGGGACCTAACTGTATAGAATGATAGGACTTCTGTGAAAGCAAAGGACATGGCCCTCATGATTCAGATAGTGTCCTTGTAAGAGGATGAAGGGAACTGCCGTGCCCTGTGTCTTTGCTGGGAGAATAGCATGACTTGTCACTAGATACTGAATCTGCTAGTACTTTAATCTTGTACTTCTCTAACTGTGTAAGGAAGTCAAACAGTTCCATTATTTCTATAGTGTCCACTATAAGATATATTGCTACAGACACAGGTATTGACTGAAATAGCACAATACTGAAGTTTCTACACTTCGGTGAAATCATTTCTAAATAATTCTACAACCAGTCCCTACTTAATATTTTATTAATATTAAATGAAACAATCCTCAGAAAGTGGTGAACATAATACCTGGTTACACTGTTAGCTTGCAAGACATGGTGACCATCATTACTATTTCTAAGGTTTTTAGCATCTTGTTTTAAATCTTAAGACATTGTATTTTAAAATGGAGTCAATATGTTCTAAGTTTAATAAAATAAGAAAAATTCTTTACTGTATTCAACCAGGTAAAAGCTATTCAAAAAGAAAACTGTATTCAACAACCCTACTTCCCTTCCTGGGTTAGAGTTCAGTTCAGTTTAACTGCAGAATTTGTAGGGATCTGTGTTTGGCCCTGAAGATACAAAGGTGAGTTAGCTTCTGCTCACTGCGAATTTGATCACTTTTTCCTGCCTTTTTGTTGAGCCCTTTTTTTGTTTCTGTGCTGAGCTTTGGTGAATGTTCTTATTGTGTCCGGAAGCAACTCTTCATCAAGTAGAGATCTGGTCCTTATTTCCCAGGTGTCGAGTCACATTCCATCCCAAAACTTACCTGCACTTTTATTATACTTACTATTTTTATTTATTTATTTACATGTGTGTGCATAAACACATTTGTGAATGAGTTGCACATGTGTAGATGAGCAGGTCAGGAACTACAGGAGATAGTTTTATTCTAACATTTAATCATTACTTGTTTTTATTCATATCTTTAATACTGTATCTTGCATGTATTTTCCTGCTTCTTCTCAGGAAATCATCCATTGCCTCACAGTAGCCACTCTGCTTTATTCTTTGCTATCACACCCAGTGACAAGAATACAGTTTGAAGATGTTCAATGAAGCCTTGTTGAAACAACAGACATCTGCACATATAATGTATGAGTTTGCATACAATATAGTAATGTGTATGAACATGTGCTTGTGTTTTGTTTGTTTGTTTTGATTTTGATGGGGGTCTCACTGCATTGCCTGGCTTGTCTGAAACTCACTATGTAGACTAGGTTGTGCTGGAACTCACAGACATCTGCTTGCATCTGCTTCTTCAGCCCTGGTGTTAAATGTATCCCCCATCATACATGACTAATATGTGTATTCTTCACCAACTCGCCACAGTTAAGTGTTAGATTTTCAATTATTGTTCTCCCATTTGTCCTTGGTCACAGTCAAGTGTTTGACCTTTTGTTTCCCTTCTGCTTTAGTCACAGAATTCATCATGTCAAAACTGGCTGGTTGCAGAGAATATCTTGAAAAAGTACTACCTCTCCACATTTTATGGGATTGAGTTCGTTTTGGGGATGCTTGGGAACATCACCGTGGTGTTTGGTTACCTCTTCTGTCTGAAGAACTGGAACAGCAGCAACGTGTATCTCTTTAACCTTTCCATCTCTGACTTTGCTTTCCTGTGCACCCTCCCCATGCTGATAAGGAGTTATGCCAATGATAACTGGATCTACGGAGATGTTCTCTGCATTTTCAACCGATACGTGCTTCATGCCAACCTCTACACCAGCATCCTTTTCCTCACTTTCATCAGCATCGATAGATACCTGCTCATGAAGTACCCTTTCCGAGAACACATTCTGCAAAAGAAGGAGTTTGCCATTTTAATCTCTTTAGCTGTCTGGGTTTTAGTAACCTTAGAAGTCCTACCCATATTCCCTTTCATAAATTCTGACCAATCAGGCAAAGACACCATCTGCAAAGACTATGCAAGTTCCGGGAACCCTAAATACAATCTCATTTACAGTTTGTGCCTGACTTTGCTGGGCTTCCTCATTCCCCTCTCTGTGATGTGCTTTTTCTATTACAAGATGGTAGTCTTCCTAAAGAGGAGGAGCAGGCAGCAGGTGACTGCTCTGCCACTGGACAAGCCTCTGCGCTTAGTGGTTCTGGCAGTGGCGATCTTCTCTGTACTCTTTACACCCTACCACATCATGCGCAATGTGAGGATCGCCTCGCGCCTTGATAGCTGGCCACGAGGATGCTCGCAGGAGGTCATCAAAACCTTGTACATTGTGACCCGGCCTCTGGCCTTTCTGAACAGTGCCATCAACCCCATCTTCTACTTTCTCATGGGAGACCACTTCAGAGAGATGCTGATTAGTAAGCTGAGACAGTACTTTAAGTCCCTTACCTCCTTCAGGACATGAACTGCTGGATGCATAGTGTTGCTGGATTTTCTTTTCCCTCCAGGTCTCACCGCCATTTTCAGCCCCCCAAAAGCACACAAAGACATATAGTAATTATAAAACTGTTGGTTGATGGCTAGGGATTCCACTGGCTAGCTCTTTCTTAATTTTTAACACATCTCTATTCATCTATGTATTTCCGTGTGGTATTGGCTTACCAGAGAACGCCTGGCGCATCCCACCCTCCTGGTCACTCCATGGTGTCCCTTTCTGTCTCCCTCTGCCTACCTTTCCCAGAATTCTCCTCCTCTCCAAGTCCCACCTATCTTCCAGCTTCTATTGGCCAGCCAGTTTTGTATTCATCAACCAATAAGAGAAATATATATACAGAAGGACACACCCCATCAGCAGGGCTTCACTTAGCAAAATTGCTCTGCAGTTGAGTTTTAACAAAGTAGACCACTGTCTCCAGGCTTTAGCTACTCCCACCACATGCAATGCTGGAGTACAAGCTGGGTCTTTGACAGCCAGCAAGTCTGTTTAAATAGGTACACATATCTGTCTTTATTTCAGGTTGTATCCCAGAGCATAAGAAAATATGCATTAAAAAAGTGTTAATATCTTCACTTAAGAACTGAAAAAAGTGAACTAATGCTGTAGCATCTGGACACTTAAGATCTAAAACCTTGGAATTTTAAGAATTCTTCTATCAGTGTAAAAGAAATACAAGATAGCTAGATTATCATGCCACATGAATTTCATCATTGGCCAAGTTGATAAACATGTTTAGGAAATACTCTCTGCTATGTTTATTCTTGCAATATTAAAACTTTATGTGAAAAATAAATAGAACTCAATATACATCATTAACTGTTATTTATAGAAGTTATATTCTTGGAAAATGTAAATAAGAGAAATGTTTAATAAAAGCAGTGCAATTAATTTCTCTGTACTGATCATGAACTGTAATTCACCTGTAATATATCAATCAGTCCTTTTTCTGTTAGATGGGCTATAGCAAATAAGAATCTTTGTTTAGGTTAGTAGGATGTAAAATATTCAACAAAGGGAACTGGTATGCTCTGACTTGGCTTTCAGGAAATTTGGCCATGATCAAATTCCATGGTAATTCTACTAAAATATTGAAGATATATGACAAGGAAGCATTCAGAAATTCCACCATTACAAAACTCTAAATATGTTTGAAACTTATAGCAAAATAAAGCACACCAAAATAAGTTCATTGTTTTTATTTAGATTGTGCTGTCTTGAATTTTGATGTCACAATCTGTTGCCCAGCACATGAAAATATAGTGAACATCCCTTCCACTTCCATCTCCTCTAAAAGTAGAACTTTAAAAATACATTATTTGGGCTGGAGCATAACATTAAGATCACTTGCTGCTTTTGCAGAGGTTTAGGTTCAGTTCTCAGCACCAGGCTCAGCAGCTCAAAACTCCCTGCAACTACAGTTCCAAAGGAGCAAGGCCACATTCTGGACAGAGTTATGGAGAAAAAGAAAAATCTCATGGCCATATTTTGTCTAGCCCATCTTTTGTTTCTAGATTATGTTTCTATTCAAGTTGCCTGTTTTTTTTCCCTTATGTAACTTTTGAGGCCAACTTCTGCAATTTCTTTCAACAAAAACAAACAGCTGCTCCCCCAACACACATACACATTTGCCTGGCAGAATGTATGCTTAGCCTCCATGAGGCCCTGACATAGATTCTAACATACATACTGTTGAAGACCAGCATCTGACCTCCTGATAACTTCCTATTTCCTCACACAGATCTACCAAGAAAAGTTAATTCGGGGGCAAAATTTTGTTCCCCAAAATTATTTTTTAATTATTTTATCAAACCACTTACCTACACCAATGATCTTACCAAATGATATTTTTAAAGAAATATAAGATACCCATAAAAGGAATAATTATCTGAAGTCCTAAGAGATTTGAAATTTATTCATTTCTCAGATTCTTATTTTTTGATGTTCTTGTTTCTTTTTTGTTGTTGTTTTGTTTTGTTTTGTTTTGTTTTTCTAGATAGGGTTTCTCTGTGTAGCTTTGGAGCCTGTCTGGAACTCACTCTGTAGACCAGGCTAGCCTGGAACTCATAGAAAGCGACCTGTCTCTGCCTCCCAAGTGCTGGGATTAAAGGCGTGTGCCACCAACACCCAGCCTTTTTTTTCTTGCTTCTTGATGAGGAACATTTAAAATATTGTCTTACTCTTTGCCATAGGAAGACAAGGAAAGCAGCTGAGACATAACACAGGAATGATGGGATTTCATTATAAGGCCATGTCATGATTAAGCACAATCATGTACACTACACTGGTAATGAAGTACAGCATATTCTCTTTCCAGCCTCTCTCTCCCTCCTTCTCTCTCTCCTGTCAAATATCAGCAGGAGACATACACTGTCATTCAAGCAGGAATAGGAGCTCTTTAAGTACTGAGCACGTCAGGTCAGGAACAATGACTCAACATGTGCACATGCATAAAATCAAATCCATTTTACACAGACCTGCCCACAGGTCTGTGAGAGTCTTCCTTCTGTTTCTTTTCCAACATGAGAGATCTGGAAGCAATCAATGCCCAAGGTTTCCCAACTGTTGTGTGTGACTAGATTCATGGGTGCAAATTACTGTAGAAAGCCTGTTGTGGTCTTAGGGTCGAGTACACTTTCTAATGCATGGTTATTAGCAACAAACCCAGAGTTCACTTCTTTCCCTTTATTTTGGATTTCTATTAGAAAACATTTTCAGAACCTTAGAGGGAAAGACATATTAGTGATCAGAATTCAGACACCAAATTTCATTCTAAATATTTAATCCAAATGATGGCACTGCACTCGGGCAGAGCTTTAAGTATTCTGGGCTTGGCTCATGGGAACTCACAGAGTCTGAAACAACAACCAGGGAGCAGGCATAGGACTGACCTAAGTCCTTTGCATAGCTAGGACAGTTGTGAAACTTGGCCTATTCTTTGGACTCTTGGTAATGGGAGCACGGCTGTCCCCAGTGATTTGACTCGATCTTGGGAACCTATTCTTTAAGCTGGATTGCCTTGCCCAGCCTGAACACAGGGGAAGATGCCCAGTCTTATGGCAACTTGATATGCCATGCTTTGTTGGTGCCCAAGGGAGGGTTGCTCCTTTCTGAGCAATTAAGGAGGAGGGGTAGATGGTCAGGCTGTAAAATAAATAAATAAATAAATAAATAAATAAATAAATAAATAAATAAATATGCCAGGCTCTGTCATTTTGTCTACGAATTGTCGTCAAAGGTAGTGGGAATACAGGTGCAGAAACCCAAGTGTGGAGTTTAGTGATAGCTCAGGGTCATATGGCTGAACTTCAGAGACCATGACCTTACACAAACTCACCACAGCACAATAGCAAGGAAGGAATAATATGTTCATGTCAATTTTAGATCAACTGTGATGATGTTACTTTGAAGACTGTCACATAATTAACCTCAGTGAAATCTGCTGATATTGAAACTAAGGAAGACACCCCCAAAACCATGTGAGGACAGGCTCTTTTCAGGGTCAGTTCAAGTACACAGGAAGGATACAAAATTTTTCAATAGTTTTGAACCCTGTCATAGAGGAAGGAACCAGGAATAACATTTTCACAAAATACAATAAGCTTGAGGATACATACATACTCTTTCTAGATAGATGGTCTTTTTCGTAAATAACTAGCTGTGCAATGCTTGTATAAAGCAAGGGTCTTTAGTAATGCAATCAAGCCATATGTCACAGAAAGCCCTGTTTTAGTGAGATTTCCAGCAAAATCCAGGAAGCATAGCCATATTCTCCCACACAATAGTCATACAAAAAAATACTTAATCAGAAGACTTGGTTTTGTTTGCTTTTTTTTTTTTGGTTTTTCGAGACAGAGTTTCTCTGTGTAGCTTTGGAGCCTATCCTGGCACTCGCTCTGGAGACCAGGCTGGCCTTGAACTCACAGAGATCCGCCTGCCTCTACCTCCTAAGTGCTGGGATTAAAGGCGTGCGCCACCAATGCCCAGCTTTGTTTGCTTTCTATTGCAAATAACTTTATGTTCAAATCACAAGATTATCTGAGCTATTAGCTCTATCTAGAAAAAATAGCTATTTGACCTTGTTTCTAAAGATGGTAAATAATTTCACATCAACTTTCATGTCACATTGGAACATCCTACATGGGCCAGTAAATAAAATATACTGCTACAGGGATATATTTGCAACGTTCTTATGGAGATATGAAACAAGGAATATTCTGTGCATAGTTTCTAGCTTAGTTGCACAAACTCACTAGGCCTATTGCATTCCTCTGCCCCATGTGCTACTGATTTCATAAAGAAGTTTCCAGAACAGGGCCAGAGTTGACTTTGATTATTAGATCTGCCTGACTTCAACAAATGCCAGAATCTTGTTCTAGCGGTTTATTTGAACATGAACTCCACATGGCATTTCCTCATGAAGTTCTCTCCAAATGACCACCTCAGCATTTAATCTCAAGAGATTTGAGAGATCTAAGCCCTGAAGTGTTTGCAAAACTATGGGTCATAGTTGACAGATGGAAGGGCTGATCTAAGGAAAGATTTTTAATTGTCTTGCTCATTGGAAATGCAGTCTTGTCATATAATGTTTTATCTTTGAGAATAGAACTTGAAGTCAATGAAAAGAATGTTACCTTCACAACTTTCTATAGAAAGTTGTAATAAAATAAGTCTGCAATGGTGTATGTGTGAAAGGCCTTCACTCCAGTTCACTCGTGGACAGCTGTAAGATGATGACCCCTGTGAGGAAGGACAAGAGAACCCATCCTTACACTTAATAAGCCATTGCTGAAGCTGTGGCTATTTCCCACACACTGCGCAAGCTTCCTGTGGTCTTCAGATATGTGACAAACTGGGTAATAAACATTTTGTCAGAAAGTTAGTAAATTCTGTAAGACTAACGTATACTTATGGGACTATTACCACCCTTACCATTTACTATGTCTACCACTGAGGAAAACAGCATGTGGTCTGCTTGCAGAAAGAATTCTCTGGAGGATAAACAGAATGTCACCACTGTCAAAACACAGTCACACAGGCAAACTCAGTTGTATTTCATCCAGGGAAGCAGCCTTGCACAGAGAACACAGGCAGTGTTAAGGACAGGCTCAATGTTAGTCAAAAGGAGTTTTCTTCTGCCTGAGTCCGCAAGACTAAGGTCTGACTTATTCAAAGAAAGATAAATATAACCTGATTCCAGATGAATTCTTTATTTCAAATCCTGCAAAGCACTGAGGCACAAGCAGCATAACTTTCTAAACAGCCAGCACACACATTACCAAACCCCCAAGTAAGAAAAGGCAAAGGTAAGTATTTTCACACAACAACAAAAACCACTGGAAAGTTCTTTTGAAACATCGATGATGTGTATAATTATCTGGTAGTGGTTGTAGTGTCTGTGAGAATCTGGGATGCCAGATGTAAAGGAAGATGTATGGATGTGGGTAGGGAGCTAAGGAATTAGTCAGAACTCTTGGATTCAACAATCCCAAGGGGGAGCATGCCAATAGATCAGGAGCAAAGAAAAGACAAAGTGTGAGCTTATGCAAGAAAGCAACTAAGACATGTGCTTTCACAAACATTAGGGGTCGCACATTAACCCTTGCACAGAATTTTATAGTTTCCAAGTAGGGACAACATAAATGAGGAAAAACTCACTGACATTTTACAATTCTATCATGTTCACGAATGAACGGAGCTGACAAAGTCTCACTGTATTAGTCAAACAATCATTTTCTCCCTGTGTCCTATTTCCTCATTAAACTCTCTATAGCAGGGACTGATAAGATAAACTACTGGTATGGAGTTGGATCCTAATTCATTAAAAATAAGCATAAAATCATGTTTTTGTATATATGTAGAATTCTGTGACAGCTTGCCAGTTCTTCAGTGAACCCACTTTTTAAATGTCTTTTGAGATATTTAATATTTGCAGGGCATTCTGGTGAATACTGGGCTATAAATAAACAATACTTCCTTTTTGATTATCTCAGGGTGTTACACACATAAACAGACATGAATATTATAGTCTAAGCAAACGATGAAATGTACCAAGGTGACTAAAATTGCTTGGAGAAGAGAAATAATTTTGGCTCCTTGTGAATTTTGGGATAAAGAAAGTCCTTCAGAAGTCTGTCATGGTCTCTTCTGAGTAGAAACTGGTGCTGGGGAACACAGCCTGTGCAAG